TCTGATTATTTTTTAGCCAAATTGCTTTTATCTGATATCTGAATTTTTGACTGAAGAATCAGTTAGCTAAATAAATCGAAGGCTAGTTTCTTCAAGTATGATGTATTACCAAACTTGCCGAAATGTTTTCACTGTTTTTATCCCTAAAATAATGAGTTCAGTGTTATTGTCAGTGCCAAACTGTGTCTTATCTTATCAGTGATCTTCAGATGAACACTGGCTACTTTTCTAAGCTTTCTTAAGTTTTGCTTAAGCAAGCCACTTGGGCTTGCATGTGATGTTAGTGTGCGAGCGGGAATGGAGGTGTGCATTAATCATGCTGTCATCACTTTCAGACCAGGTCCCTTATGGCCTCTGCAGAATATAGACCTTGCATCATGGAAGAACTGTGACTGTGCTCAGTCAAAATCCACGATTGTAAGTGTTTAGTAGTCTTACATTCCTCTGCCCAGATTGCTACCAAGGACTTACTATAATGATTTTTAGAAATGCATTAGGATGCCTGACACATTTGCTGCTGTGTTTCCAGCATGAGTCATGCACAGAACATCATCTTGGGATATGATCTGATTGAAGACCTTGGCATGTAAACTGTAAAATTTCAGCCTGTCATATGATAGTATTACACATATCTCTTTCTGGATGAAGCACTTTTACAAATGATTGCTATTATTTGTGGACCTGACACTCACAAAACTGTGTTATGAATGGAAAAAAACTGTAATTTAATGCTATATTTCCACTAATGGCTTCAAAGAACTAAATGTAAACTAACAGTTTAAATTAAGCTATCCAGTCTCAGAGCAGGGAAACAAAAATCTGGTGTGACTAAATAAAATCTGACATTCACAGAAATATATAGGCGTTATCGTATGACTTCTACAATATTTTATGGCGGATAGGGAGGAAAGGTGCCCTTTGGCACGTTTTTAAAAAAAGAGAAAACATGAAATGCAAGCAGGGGTCTTTTTTTAAATGGTGGCTGAATAAAGCAGACTCTGTGAAAAGAAGAGAGAGTGTAACGTAGGTGACATTTACAGCAGTGAAACAGAGTACGGACGGTCTGGGAGCGCACTGGGCCATGAGATGGCAGCTAGAGCTCAATGGGGGACGGAAAAGGAGCGGGGAGTATATCGGGACATAATGGATACTGGTGCTGAGGGACACAGGGTGAGGAGGGCAGGGGTTGAGGAGTGTAGTTGTAAGAGTTTCCCTTGTGTGACACTGAAACTCAACACTCGCCTCCTCTCCTGTAAAATGACCGTGTCCGCTTGGCCACCCCTGATGGGGATGGAGGGGAGTCTTGTCCAGGTCCATACAGCCCCACTGCAGGTCACACTTGGCTTGTCCTGCCATACCTAGTAAACCGAGAAACTTTGAACTCATAACTGTCAAACAGGACTTTGGCTCAGACCGGCACATTAATCAAGACATTTGCCTCCAGACACATCCGTGAAAAACACAATCTTGAGACACCTCCGTTGCAGCTTTGTCCTGACATGGTGAAATTACAGCTTCAGTCAGTGCAGTAAAACGCAGACGGTTCAGGTTACGGCAACATCATTACTGGTACTGTCAATGCACAGCATATTTCTAATAAATGTAAACAAGTGATTGGATGTGTTAGGTATCTAGTTAATGAAGATAACACATGAAGATTTAAAGCAAAGGAAATGACATCTAATTTAAAGTAAGAAAACTTAAACTGAATGAATTTGTTACATCTTTGTTGAGATAATAGATAATTAGCATCAGTTTTACACTGCTAGCATTCTAGAACATATACAATTTGAGATATACAAAATTCAGTCAGGCCACAACTTTTCAAAATATTCTCTCAGTAAACGAGATCTTCATGTCTCTTTCTTATCATGCAAGAACATTATTACATTCCTACATTATAGAACAGGAAAGCCTCCTGTTATTCTGATATAAAGACGTGCAGTGTTGGTCAAGTTACTTGAAAAAAGTAATCAGTAACTAATTACTGATTACTTCTCCAAAAAAGTAATCCCGTTACTTTACTGATTACTTATTTTCAAAAGTAATTAGTTACTTAGTTACTTTTTAAAAACACGATTTACAACCTGAATAGGTGATAAAGCGTGATAAACATTCCAGCACATAAAATAAAATATTTTTTTGTGTGTTTACACTCAGTCTTTCAAATAGATGCAAGTAAAACACAGCAGAAAATAAATAAAGTCAAAGACTAGCGGTCCTGTTGCTCTATTTTCACCTGTAAAGCAGGAGTGGGGTAGGCGGAGGTTTACCCTGGTGCAGGTGCGCAGCGGTCAGTGGAAGAATCCGCGAGTTTCTCTGTGAGTTTCCCATTACGTCGTTGCTACTTGGTGCTTGTTTAGGGTTTTTTCGCTGTAAAAAGAAGTTTTCTTCCCACGCACAACGGACACTAATGTTTTTGTCACTTTTTATGGAATCAAACTCAAAGTAAGGTCAGTACTTCCACGCTTTAAACACTGCACGCTCATACTCTCTCCCGCACTCGATATATGATCCATTGTTGATCTGTTGTCATGAACGTCGCACTCGCTTACGTCACTGTCATGAGACATTCTCGCAAAAAAATCACGGTTTTAGTAACGCAGTAACGCAGCGTTCCTACGGGAAAGTAACGGTAATCTAATTACCGTTTTTGCAATAGTAATCCCTTACTTTACTCGTTACTTGAAAAAAGTAATCAGATTACAGTAACGCGTTACAAGTAACAAGTAACGTGTTACTGCCCATCTCTGAAGACGTGTCATCAACCATCTACGTATACTGAGGATAATGCACGTCTCAAAAAACATTAGCGCCTGTTACCCTATGAAATGAAAGAGTTTCTGTGTAAGAGATTTACATGAATCCATTTTCGACAGCAGAGGAAAAGTGACAACTTCAACACCTTGGTAATTACTTCCACACAGAGAGAAGTTTAGCCGGAGTGCGGCTCTAGTTTGGGTGTGTTTGTTTTGGCCTTCTGCTCACACAGGGTCACAGGTATCGCACCTGATTCATGACTGCCTCCTCTGTCCAAAGGGAACTTCTTGTTGTCCTTGGCTGAACACTGAGTTCCCCTCACTATCTCACACTCCCTCACACACCAGCAGACGTATAAATGCACACACACAAACCTCACAAACTTGTAAATACTATTTGGGGATTTTCTGTCCGTGCCATCTTGGATTTGGTTTACATAATCACATACACAGACATGCACAAAAACAACACATGAGTGGAAAAGGCTTTGGTTTAGCCACATATTAGGAATAATTTCAAAAATAAAAAACAACTTATGCACGCTCCCAAATCAGTTCAAACATGTGCGGACTCTTTGGGTTTGGTCAACAACATCACGCGCAGATGCAAAACACATGCACATGCATAAATATATAAATGGCTTTTATTAGTTTGGTGTCTGTCTCTCAGTCTCTCTCTGCACAGCCTTCTTTTTTATGGTGACACAAAGCGTATCTGTGCGAACATCACTGCCCTCCCTGTGTGCTTGTAGATCCTTAACCAAGATAACTTTACGTCTCCAGTTTTATGGATTAAATGGAGCCAGCTCCAGAGGTGGACTTAATGGGTGGTTCCCAAGACAACTTCAACTTCTTCTCCTGTTGCTTTGCTACACATCTTTGTCTCATCTCCCTCACATCTTCTGCCAAGTGTCTCAGCTGGACCTCCTTGCTCAACAAGGAAGAGCTTGGAGAAAGAGAATGAGAAAGACAGCATGG